GGTATGTTTCCTCTTCAGCTTAAAAATTGTCCAAAAAATGCCCTCATTTCCTCCAAAAGAAATAAACACAGGCAAAGGTCAGAGGGATGCATTCAATGGAAGCTGCCCATAGGAGAGCAAAGTGCAAGGCAGACAGCCTGGACCAGAGAGTGCCTTCCTGTCCTCCCCGAGCATCTGGGGTCTTATCCCCTGGCTCTACACTCCCAAGGAAAAGTGGGTCTCTCTCTGCTGCAGTTCCCATCCCCACAGCTCTAAGGAACATTCTGGCCTGGCATGTGTGCATTTTCATGCTCTATTCATGCCGAAAAGCATAGTCATTCCTGCAGGAATTCTTTTTGCAATCAAAGGCAAACTGTCTGCCATGTGCCTTGTTTGTGGGTGTTAGACCCCTCCAGAAGGAAGCAGCATCCTTCACCCTTTCCGTCCCATTTCTCCATTTCTCCCACTGCTTTCCCATGGTTCTGTGGCCATTTTCTTGCTTGTCATTTTCTAACTCTTGCCTTGTGAGCAGATTCACATCTGTCCATTCTACCCTTTATAATCTACTTTTTCTAGGGCTACTATGTACATGCTTCTAAAATTCAAATAAGAGTCCCTGGCTTTCTTCATTTAAAACACATACACAAGTATGAAGCATGATTATGTGGCCAGAACCCATATCTCATTCATTTGTTAATTAATTCATCAATCTAAATATTCAATGAATGAGCAAGTGCTAGGAACTTTAACTCATAGATGGGAAAACATTCAGGATAGAGAAGTGAAGTTAGGAATGAGAAGAGAGTGGGATGGGATGGAGGTGTCTCTTTGTATATATTTTGTGTTAATAAAAGATGCCAAAAATATTTTTTAAATTAGGAAATCAGCTGGTGCATCTTATTTAAAAAATTCCCATCTTAAGGTAAGTATCAAAACAAGGGCCAGTGGCGGCTGCACACGCCTATAATCCCAGTGGTTTGGGAGACTAAGGCAGGATGATCAAGTGTTCAAAGTCAGACTCAGCAATGGTGAGGTGCTAAGTAATTCAGTGAGACCCTGTCTCTAAATAAAATACAAAATAGGGTTGGGGATGTGGCTCAGTGGTTGAGTGCCCCTGAGTTCAATCCCTGGTACCCCTCCCACCCAAAAAAAAGATAATTATCCAAACAAAATCCTTTAAAAAAGGCTCTGTATTTTACTTTGGTCCCAGACTGGTAACTAAAATGAGAACTTGGATCAGTGAAGGCAGACATAAATCTTGTCTTATTTATTATTATATTCCCTTACCCCATGTAGAACCATGCCTTGGACATAGCAGGCTTATAGTAAAATATTTTTTTAAACTTATTTGCCAGTGTGAACTTTGTATAATGAAACTATATGTGGAAATGTGATTAATTTCTGCAAGTTTGTAAGAAAGAATGACAAACTTTCAGTTAAATTTTAACTCTTCTTTTTTATTAGTTGCTCAAAACATTACAATGATCTTGACATATCATACATTTGATTCAAACGGGGTACGTAATCTTATTTTTCCACATGTACAAATTGCAGGATCACATTGGTTATACAGCCACGTTTATACATAGGTCCATACTAGTGTCTACTGTATTATGCTACCCTTCCTATCCCACCTCCCCTCCCCTCCCCTCCCATCACCTCTTTCTACTCAATCTACTGTGACACGTTTCTCTCTCTCTCTTTTTTCTTCCCCCTCACACCGTCTTATATGTAATTTTGCATAACAATGAGGGTCTCCTACCATCTTCTGTGCAATTCCCCTTCTCTCTCCCATTCCCACGACTCAAATAAATTTTAATTCTTTCTTAATTCTGAGGTAGGATATTCTTCAAAAAACACTATGTCCAAGACCATATAATATTGAATTTTTTTAAAGCATGATTCTCTTTCTTTTGTACTACTTCTTTCACACAGAATTCCACTGATATTGTGGTGAAACATGATAATGATTTGGTGAGTGAACATTTCATCTTAAGGGTTGAGGTGGAGATAATCTCTGGAGGAACCAAGCAATTGGGTGTGTTTCTGTTTATACTGTGACACATAAGGTATGGGCCTCTGTAGTAAGTTTCTGGCCTATTTATTGTATAGAAAGAGTTCTTGTACATAGTTAAAAATATTATTATTTCACAAGATGGTCCATATGTTGGGAACATAAACTGAGAGGCTTCTAAGGACAATATCCCTTCATGTAAGAAACTCTGCCAGGCCTATTTGTTACTTTCCACAGTGATAAAATAAAGTTTCTTCATGTAGACTCAACTACTCTCTCACATCTCAATTCTTTCTTTATAATTATTTAAGTTACCAAGGCCCTTTACTGTAAGTTACTACTATTTGTATATATAAAATCATCAAAGGAGGTTATTTCTAGAAAATCTCAGCTCTGCCATTTGTCCAATGATGGTCAGGCATTAAATATAAGAAGATGATGCTGTCACACAGAAATATGCTTGAAGATTTTTTTAGAAGAGTGCCAATGGACTTGGACTAGCTAGCCCACCTAATGAGAGCTTTCTTCAGGTATTTCATTGAATATTTAATTGCTTGGTATCTAACAGTGGGTAAATCTGAACAAAAGACACCACCTCAATAGCCCTTGGCCTTTGCTCACCAAGAATGCATATCTGTATGTTTGTCAAGGTTTGTAGGTACTGTTGGTGACCAGATTGGATGCAACTGTATTGAAAGGGAACCAAAACAGCAATTCCTGATGTTCCCTATGGCCAGATTACTTCTTCCCCTGATCTTCCTATGGCTGTCTTCTCATCTATTAGGTGATAAGTTAATGATCCACCTCCTTCAGTGGGTTCTCCTGGATTGCTCCCTCTGGTATTGCCAACAACAGTCATTACATCAAATGACCCTGCTCTCTTTGCTCAGAAACAAGCTGTACCTATAACTGGTGTCTTTGTCCCCTTGCATATTACCTTCTCCCATTCTAGACTATAAGCTTCACAAGAGGAAGCAAGTCCTAGGGCAGCTTCTCACTGTCGACTCCTGCACTTAATTCAGTGCCTGGTTCATACATTGCATGAACAAATGAACCTTGGTGTCATGATGGTACTCGAAAATAGCCTTGTTCAAGACAACGGTAAGGTGAGCCACATATATAATATTAAGTTTTCTAGTAGCCACGTTAAGAAAGTAAAAAAGAAACAGGTGAAGCTAATTGTAGTCACACATTTCATTTAATCCTATGTGTCTAAATTATTGTCATTTCAGCATATAATCAATTTAGGGAATTTTAATAATATGTTGTACTTTATTTCCTAAAATTTACAGTTGAAGGTATAGATTGACATATCCAAATTGCTCCAAACACATTTAAAATTTCTCCAAGAACCAAACTGGAGATCATTTTTTATGTTCTTACTGAATGAAATTCAGTTTCACAATCACACCAACCACACTGCAAGTGTTTAAGCCACATGTGACTAGAGACACAAGTCTTGGATGGTTCATCTCTAAAACAACATGGTTAAATAGTAGTGTTACAACACATGTGGTATATATTCAAACAAGATAATCATTTAAGATTGGTCTGAAGCACCTTGTTACTACATACCAGGAATCAACATATATGCTAAAAAGAAAACTATAATTAATTTAGAACATTATCAAAATTATTCCTTTACTAAAAATAGTTATATTTATTTACTTCACATTTTAAAGAGCTTATTGAATGAGTAACAGCTTAATCTCTATCATGAACTATCATGAACTGAACATCACCAGTCTATGGATCTATGCAACAGACCCTAGTGGATGAATGTTAATATCATGCTATTAAAAAGATAGCAGTTAAAAAAATATCATTGTAATTTAACTTTATTTAACTTACATTCCTACAGAAAATCCTATTATTTACAGAATTCCTTGTCCCAAACCTTTCTGTGAAGCCCCAGGGTATGGACACTGGCTCACAAGTCAATCACGTGCTCTGCATGTTCTGCTTAGTGAGATCCACGGGGTCAGAACTCATCTCTCCACAATGTCCTAAAATCTAGATATGTTCATAGGAGACTGTAGTCCATGTGAAAATCTTCCATTATGCTGGTATGGGGTGAGAAGATTGAAAATCACTTTCGAAAAGTAATTTCAGGGGAGGGGGGATAGTAGGGGAAAAAAAAAAAAGAAAAGTAATTTCACAGGTCAGTCATCATGTAAATGAAAAAAGGTTTTGATAGCTTGTGACAACATCATTTCTGATCACTCAAATAAAAGAGTATCATCTAGAATGGGTTAAATTTGGAGTATTTACTATAGTTCAGGAACAGAATGAAGAGTATATCTTTAATTTGAGCCTATTTTTAAAGGAGTCCTTAGAATTCAACACCATGTTGTCATTACGGGGTGGAAAGACTTAAGAGGTTAAATTCTTATTTTAACAAAATCTACAATCTGGATTCCTGGTGGATTAAATGCTCTTTATATTCATATAAAACATTTGAAATTAGAAATCTGGGGTACTTTAAAATGTCAGTATTTATTTTGTTTTAATTGCCGGGTTTGTTCTGAGACAGTTCTGTCACAAAGAGACTGCAATTGTTTAAGAATCTCCTAGGTAGTTTTTAATGTTCCTCCATTCAAAAGAATCACATAATTGCAATTTTAAGAAAATGAGAACTCAAGAAAAGAGGGTCAAAGTTCACCCCAAGATAATTGTTCCACTCCGCAATGGGTAAATATGTATGGAAATAATAGGGGGAAGTTCAAGCCACTGAGCATTAAACAGGCAAAGCAGGAACATTTAAAATATTCTGTTCGTTGTTAAAAATAATTTGTACTCCCAGTCCAATGACCATTTGCCAGGGAGAACTAAAGTTGAGAAATTTCTATTAAAAACATGACTCAGAGGAAAAAATACAGAGGCTGGTAATGAAGGAAACAAACTGATATCCTTCCCAATTGGTTACTCCTATGATCACATGTTCTGAGCATCTTTAAAAGGGCATTGTCTGGACTCCAGGGGGTCACAGCACCTTCTGGAATCCTGCAGCCTCTTTCTCACCTGGAAGAATACTCCTAGAAACCTGGCAAAATGTGTGATGCTTTTGTAGGTACCTGGAAACTTGTCTCCAGTGAAAACTTTGATGATTACATGAAAGAAGTGGGTAAGTAAATGTGCTATGGAATGATGGGATTTTTAACTTTTTTTTTTTTTCTGGGGAGAAAGGGCTTACAGCTGGGTTTTCACCCTGGAAGCACTGATCTCAAATAAAAATGCTATTTTTCTATACGGAGGCCGTACAAGCAGCAAGTGAGAATCTATTTCTAGAAACAATCTCAACCAAAGCTACAACTAAAGCTTCCTAAAGGTGAACCAAAGGGTCTAAATGAAATTTTTTATAATCTATAGAATGCCAAGATTTTACTCTAATTACAAAACTTGGGTGTCTTTGATTTACTTGGCTCTTTGCTTGTTTTTCTTTCATCCTCTTTTGCATATTAAATGTGCAATACCTTAAAAACATATTTCTATTGTAGCATACAACAATTTCCATTTGAAACTTAAGCCACTGTATTTCTCAGCTTAGCAAATTAAATTTTTTTTAGTAAATGTATGTTAACAAATTATTTTCTTGTCCCAGTGTCAATGCATTAACATATGTAGTTATTTTATTGTAGACAAAAAATATTAATTTCAGAAGATATGTTCTGTAAAATATTGAAATACTTTGACTAGAAATAGGATGCCATAGATTATTGAGTAATTCAAAAGGAGAATGCTGCGTATGTGACCTATAGATTTTTAGACTTTGTTAACATTGTCATTATGTTGTGTATGAATGTTCATCAGATAATTATGGCAGGAAAGTAATAAATGTAAATTATAAAAGTACCTTCTCAGTTCACTTTGGCTTTGAAAGCTCTTTCTATCCCAAGCCTCATACATGATAAAGTCAGATCCAGGACTATCAAAATGGGGGGAAATTTTATACAGTATCTTTATTAGGGATTAGAAGTCAATTCCTTAAATCTCAAAAGACTTGACCTTGTCCTCAATTTTATATAAGCAGTTTTTTTTAACTTGTCTGAAACTACTGTTTTTTTTTTTTTTCTTGATTATTGATGAGAAGGAAATAAAGAATTTCAGCACGGGAAACATCTAACTTTCTAGAATATCAACTAGTTGTGATTCAATACACTAATCAAAATGCACCGATATAGAAATGCCGGGATTGGAAGGCATTTACCCCTCATTTTTTGGAAGCATTTTACACTTTTAATATTCACATATAAATTCTTGTGACACTGCTTAAATTATAAAAGGCTGATAAAGACAATAAGATGCCTCCTGAATGAAGCTGGCTGCTCTAATTGAGGCTGGGTGAACAGGTTTTGTCTTCTGAGCAGTCAAATAAGGAGAGAATGAAACAAGTAGAGATTTTTTTTTTTTTCCATAGTCGGTCCTTGCAGAATCCCTCTGTGTTGCATCTGTTCTCTCTGCTGATTCAATACATACGTTTAATGTATTTCGCAACAAAGCTGGGACTTGAAGCAATGTCTCATCTTCCCACTGTGCCACTTTTTGAGGCTAAATCTGAGCCTCAGTATTACTTATTTCACATCATATTTCTCTCCCAGTTTCTTCCTCTTTCTAGCCTTTGGTTGCTTTTCATCAAAGAGAGAAGCTACATTTATGTGCATGTGTCAAAAAAAAAAAATTCAACACATCTATGACTCTCGTGAGTTCTGTATCTGTAGTGATGGCAAGTTACCACAGTTCATATTACGTTGTAATTGTTCACCTCATACTTTATACAAGAAAATACATTACTCTTTTTATATTTAAAAAGTTCATGACTTAGGTGATAAGGAATCAAAATATTGTTTTCGTGAGAAACAGTGAAGTCTTTTCTTCCTTTTTCTTTCTTTGCTTTATTATTCATGTTTGCTAGGCAAACACTCTACCACTGAGCTACATACCCAGCCCTAGAAATAGTGATTTATTAAATTTTGATATTTTCACACACTCGATGCCTAGTCTCTCCTTAATATTTTCTATAAATTTCTGGCAATTCTATCACCATTATAAAATGATATGTATTTACAGAACCTTTTACCCCTTTCATAGGAATTAATCCAAATCCTCATTCCATTGGGGAATAATTTGGGAAAGAAGCCCAGAAAATTAGACTTGATAGTAAATGCTAGGAATTGTGACTTTTGTACACTCAAAATAGATGATCTCTTACCTGAATAACTCTATAATAGCCCACAAAGTCCTATTTAAAATTCTGACTGTGGATTTTTTAATAAAATTTTTAAAAGCTAAGAAAGAATGAAGTGGTTCTGTTGCCTCAAGTATTTCCATATTTTATAAATAGAAAATAATGTTAATAGAGATAGATATGTGTCTGTATGTGTGTGTTTGTGTGTGTATGAGCATATATGTGTGTGTGTGTGTGTGTATATATATATGTTCCATAAAACTTAATCTCTATAAATATTTTTGTTGAGAATTAACAGTGGGTCTCCTGAGGAGTTATGTCCAGAACTAAAGAAGGAGAAGTTTAAAGACTAAGCCTCAGAATTTTTCTTATGTTAGCCTAGTGTGCTTATCCTCAGGAACTATTTAAGTGAGGCCTTAAGAAACTCGCGGGTAACTCTTTCCCTCTTTCCTCTGACACCGCACTTCCCTGACTTACTGATGTGAGAGAAAGTGTCAACCTTACATTTTTCCTTTCCTAACTGCAGGAGTGGGCTTTGCCACCCGGAAAGTGGCTGGCATGGCCAAACCCAACATGATCATCAGTGTGAATGGAGATGTGATCACCATTAGATCAGAAAGCACCTTTAAAAACACTGAGATTTCCTTCAAACTGGGCCAGGAATTTGATGAAGTCACTGCAGATGACAGGAAAGTCAAGGTGAGGAGCAGGGTATTGGGAGAGTGAACACCTGGTTTCTAAATTGCCTTTTCCTGAAAGAAACAGTTTCATAATAAAAGCAGAAAAACGGTTATCTCGTGGGCCAAGATCCCTGAATTCTACCATCTATACCATGTTGCCTTCAATAAGTAGTTGGTAAATTTTTCCCCTTTTTACTAAGTGGACCTCATATTTTTTTAAAAAAAAAATGATTAACATAATTTATAAGTCACATAATACATAGAATATTTGAAAGAAATTAAAGTAATAAAACATGTTAGAAAAAGCTTATATAAGAATGGAAGAAATAAAGAAAAAAATCACCTATAATCTTACCATCTCAGTATAAATTTATGATCTATATTCTTCCACAGTATTTTTTTCAAATGCAATTTTGCATATTCTAGTCATTACACACACACACACATACAATATATTCTATGCTGTTATTTTTAAAAAATATTTATTTTTTAGTTGTAGTTGGACACAATACCTTTATTTTATTTATTTATTTTTTTATGTGGTGCTGAGGATCAAACCCAAGGCCTCGCACGTGCTAGGCAAGAGCTCTACCGCTGAGTCATAATCCCAGTCCTATGCTGTTATTTTTAAGACTCATTTTTTTAATACATTCTTGTCATTTAGAATTACTAATGACCTCAAAGTATATCTTTGAAACAGGGTAATATTTTAAAATTTTATTTTCTGCCTTCATATTCAGATTATAATCACTTCTTATTGTGTCTTCAGAGCATCATAACCTTAGATGGGGGTGTCCTGGTTCAGGTGCAGAAGTGGGATGGCAAGTCGACCACCATAAAGAGAAAAAGAGAGGATGATAAGCTGGTGGTGGTGAGTATCTTCTAGGAACTTATTCAAGATTCTACTACTACGATCTAGAATGTTGTTATTTATAAGCAAGGTGAATTTCCTTAAGTAGAATAATGACCATGAAATAACCTAGTGATTTTTATTAGGATTATCTTTCAACCCTGACTATTTCCCTTTGTGTTTTTTGTGATACTAGAGATTGAACCCAGGCACTGGTACCCGCTAAGCACACATAACACCATTGAGGCACACCCCAGTCCCTCTGTGCTTTTAAGCTCAGCCCAGGCATGCTATCTCCCAGAAGGCATTTCCTGCCCCCTCTGCGGCACAAAAGCTTGTCTGCAGCAGTGCCCCTTCCACAACAAATGTCTTTTGAATGAATATTGCTTCCTTTCTAACATTAAGAAACACCATAATTAAACCCATAGTGTAGTCCCAGTGAGTAACCGAGAATTCATTTTGTTGTGTTTTGCATGTCTAGGAATGTGTCATGAAAGGCGTCACTTCCACCAGAGTTTATGAGAGAGCATAAGCCAAGAGACACGGCGACCTGGACTGAAGTTTGTATCAAACTCCACGACATTCTGTTGGATGAATTGTTCAAAAAGATATTATTATTTTCCCATAATTACCAAGCAACTAATTTTCTCCCGAGCTGGATTTTGCTAAATATGGTTGGTTTGGTTAAATAAAACTTTTTAGATTTAGAAGGTGGTATGATGGATGATATATTTATTGTGCTTTGTAATTTCATTTACTCTTAATTGAGTGAAGAAAATAGAACAATTGCATTATTGATTTGTTTCTCATATAAGTCATAAGATCTTTCATAATAATAATGCAAGGTAAAAAAAATTAATATCTGTGAATTTTCTATTTGCCCAGATAGGAGGCAATATGTACCATGACTGAATATTAGGTCCCTTTCTCAGTATATCTAATTAAGAAACTATCTCTTGGAGACTTAATGTAGTTTTAAATAGAGTAAAATTGTCTATTGTCAGCTGGTATAAATGCTTATGTTTCATACCTGCCCTGTCCTGGATCTTTGCAAGTGAGTTGTACATTCTTGTTGTATGTTGTAGAAAAAAAATCTTTAGTCTGTAATTTTTAGTCAGAGGGTACACATCTATAATCCCAGCGCTTTGGGAGGCTGAGACAAGAGGATTGCAAGTTCAAAGTCAGCCTCAGCAACATAGTGAGGCACTAAGCAACTCAGTGAGACCCTGTTTCTAAATAAAATACAAAATAGGGATGGAGTTGTGGCTCAGTAGTTGAGTGCCCCTGAGTTCAATCTCCAGTGCCTCCCACCCCCCAAAATATTGATGAATCAGGTGTCTTAGTTTTCCATTGCTATAACAAAATTCCCAAGGCTGGTGTTAAAGAAAAAAGTTTAGCTCACAGTTTTGGAGGCTGAACATCCAAGATGAGGTTGTCACATCAATTTAGCCTTTGGTGAGGACCTGATGACAAATTGCATCATGGATGGAGTGCATATGAAGAGAGATCATGTAGTGAGACAGAAAGCCAGAGAGCAGGGACAGATCACTCTTGCTTTTTTGTAACAGCCCACTCTTATAGGATCTATCCAGTATCTCCCTAATTATTTGGGGGAGCTATGTCCCCCATTGATCTAACTACTTTACAGTAGGCTCCACCTCTTAAAATTATCACAACATTACCACCACACAGAGAACCAAGTGTCTAGTACATGACCCTTTGTAGGACAAACAACTTCCAAACCAGCACAGTCTATTTCTGAAAGCTACAGACTTCAGTGCAAATAATTCCATAGTGTATTCCACAAAAGTGGTGACAGTTTTGTCCATGAATAAAGATTCACGTCATTGTAGTAGTTTCACATTTATTGTTTTCTTACTAGCAAAACTTTTTATTCAAATATAATCTCCATATTCAAAACATACAAAGTATACTGAGGTTTCCCAAGTGTGTGTTTGTGTGTGTGTGTGTGTTTCTCCTGTGTCCTGTAAAAGCCATGAAGCACTTCTACAGATTATACAGATTGGGTTTTCACTTATATAGGGCAAAATTTCTAAATCACACAGTTACATTTATAGTAAGACAAAAATCTGTTTAGGTGTATACCATAGGGGACATTATGTTAAGTGAAATAAGTTATACACAGAAAGACGAGTGCCACATATTCTCTCTCCTACGTGAAAGTTAAAGAAAAACAAAAGTCAATCTAATGTAGAATAGTGATTAATGGAGGTTAGGAAGGGAGGCTGGATTCATCAATGAGCATTGTATGCATGTATTGAAGTATCACATGGAACCTCAGTATGTATAATTATTACGTGTTAATGGAAAATTAAAAATAAAATATATACTGCAGTTGATATCATTCAGTTTGTATGTTTGCTTTAAAAATAAGTCCAATTCTGAGTAGCTGTCATATATGTAACTCCATAATGTGGACAGAACAGAGAGGTGGACTTGGTCATAAGAGTTTGTTTTTTTTCCAAAAACAAAGAGTATGACTGTCAGTTGGGGCTCACTAGAGATGTGGAGGACTTACATAGATATTTGGGAGGGCCGATTAGGACAAATATTTGTAAACGAATATTTACTAAACGCTAACAATGGTTTAGGCAATCTGCATAATTCATGTCATTTATCATCAAAACACTGAGAGAGGATTTCGGATTTCTGTTTACAAATGTGGTGACCGAAACTCAGTACTTAATATCATAAAACTAGAAGGCAACTTTTTTGTTTTTTTATTTTCAGTCCTGGGATGTAACCCAGGACTTTATGTGTGCTAGCCAAGCACTCTAGCTGAGCTACACCCCCAATCCCCATAAAACTAAATAGAGAATAGGTCTAGGAATCTAAAATTTAAGAGAGCTATTCTGGATGGAATGTAGATCTGGAAATCAACAGTGTCCAAATGGTAATTTGATTCATAAAATGTGATGAGGTTGATTTTGAGAGGATCCTAAGAAGACAGGGACTAGGAAGCACCAGGAATATATTCCTTACCTAGACAATACTTGCATTGGAAGAATCTGTTTGATGGAACTATTTTGAAACTCTGGAGTCTACTAGATCCTTGCAACATTCAGGGAAAGTCCAGGATGATAAAACTGACATTATTTTTTGTTCATTTCAGCTCCTGCCATAGTAGCAGACACTCACCCTCCATCCCCAGCCCCATGGCACACAGTTTGTAGGAGCCAGGATAGGCAATAAGAACCCTGTGTTTCCCAAACATTGTGCATTTGTGTTTTAATTGATGATGGCTGCTTATGATCACAGATGCCAACCGCCACTGTCACACAACCCTCATTGTTGCGAGTCCCTCTCCTTAGACTGAAGCAAGCTCAGGGTTTTTAGAGGATTGGCTCCTCCCCACTTCATTTTCTGATTTTTCCCTTTTGGCAGCCGGTCATTAAACACTAAGACGTTCAAAAGAAGCTACAGATGTGGGCAAATTAGAAAGTCACTGTGCATGCCGAGGGAAGGTTCAGAAAAGACCTTAAGTTGGCTCTTCAACCTGATCTTTAGTACAGATAGTGGACAACAACCAAAAGACGAAACTGAACGAAGCAAAATTCAGTTCTCAAAATCCAATCATTTCACTTATAAACATTCCTGCATTAATATAGGAGCTTTTGGGGGACATCTCATATCCAAACCATATTAGAAATGGAGTCAGTTTCTCAGCTTTCTCTAAAATGGTTCAGAAAAAAAAAAAAAAAGTTCTCTGTCAGAGAAGAGGGGGGTGGGAAGAGAAGGAGAAAAGGAGGTGGGGCAAGTGCATTAAAATCTTGAAACCTGCGAATGCCAGGCAAAGAGTGTGCTTTTGGTATTTCTCTTTCAATTTCTTCTTTATAACTTTGAAATTAGTTCCAAATTGAAAGGTAACCAAAAAAAAAAAAAAAACCAAATTAATATGAACTACTACTACAGCAAAAAAATCAACAAAAATATAAGGTAGGTGTGGGGTGGGGTGAAGCAATAGAAAGAACCAATTGTCAAAAAAAAAATCCATTCAAAAATTTCTTTACCCATTAATAAAATTTTATACTTAGCTCTTTAGAAAGGAGTTCCTACTTTTATTTTTATTTCTATTTTAAATAACACATAGTAGATAAGAGATGGGCTTATTTTATACTGCAGAAGAAATAAATTGGAAGTTTTAATTTAAAAAATATATTTGCTAAGAATTAATTTGGCATGATTATTTTGAGTAAAATTTATGTTGTAAGCAAGGTAATACAGAAACCAAAACTTAATGTAAAAATTCTTCTCAAAGCCTCCAAATGTATAAAGATTATTAAAATGAGGTTTACACAATATGTCATTTATTCTAAGCAAACAGTTTCTCAAACTTCACACCATTTTCTCCAAAGTAGAACATACTAGCAAAATGAGGACTGAATATTTCAACTGCACATCTCACATTTGAACCAGTTATTACCAAAATTAAATTTCAGAATAACTGTTCTCCATAATGGAGAATAGAATATCATCTTAAAAAGAAATATTTATAATGCTGAATTACTTTTTAGTTTTTTAGATTAGTATACATTTTGAAATATTATTATTTTAAGTATGAACTACATACAAAAAAGGATAATTGAGGGGCTCGAGTTGTAGCTCAGCAGTAGAGTGCTTGCCTCATACATGTAGAGACACTGGGTTCAATTCCTAGCACCACGTAAAAATAAATAAATAAAATAAAGGTCCATCAACAACTAAAAAATAAAATAAAATAAATAGACAATTGAAATTTGAATAATAAACATAGTAACTAAAGTGATATTGAAGAGCAGAGAACTCTGTCACTTGAGAAGGGAGATCCTATAGTAATAATGAGACACCAGAAAAGATGACAAGGGTCTGGGGATCCGTTCATCATCCAAAGACCATCAGCATGAAAGGCACAGCATAGGGACAGATCAGGAGAGGACAATGTACAAAACCCCTACCTTTAGTCATTGTTATAGAGATTTTAAAAAAAAAACAACAACAACACTGAGAATGTCTGTATAACACAATGGCATATTACTCAGCCATAAAGAAGAATGAATTATAGCATTTGCTGGTAAATGGATGAAGCTGGAGAATATCATACTAAGTAAAATAAGCCAATTCCAAAAAACTGAAGGCAGAATATTTTCTCTGATATGTGGATGCTAATTCACAATAAGGGTGGGAGGTTTTAGGGAAGAATAGAAATACACCAGATTAGAGAAAGGGGAATGAAAGGAAAAGAGGGGAAATGGGAATAGGAAAGATAGTAGAATAAATCGGACACTATTATTTTATGTGCATTACACAACCAAAGTAATTCTACATCATGTACAACCAGAAGAATGAGAAGTTATACTCCATATACGTATAATATATCAAAATACATTCTACCAATCATGTGTAACTAATTAGAACAAACTTTAAAAAGTAAAGAAAAGAAAGAATGCTTATTTCTTTTGCCACTCATTTGTAAAACATTTACTAAGTATTTATTATTTGCCAGGTATACTATCTTAGGTATACACAGATAAATAAGAAGTATCATCCTTTCTGGAGGTACTCACAGAATAGCTCATGAGACAGCTGAGGGAGAATTCATCACACTACTATGAGGTACATTCTCCAAAATACTTCTGTTAAAGGCAGAATTGTATCACATAGTAGGGATCAACCAGCCCTGAATCAGCATCTCAGAGGAGATGTTAGATTTGAATGCTGTGCTCAAAGCCAATGCACGGGACACACGTAATTGGCTGCTGTCAAGTCCAAATTAACCATTTGGTGAAGCTGTTAACAAAGGCATATCAATTATGAAAGCTTAGTCTGCAAACAGCAAACACTCAGGCACAAAACAGTTTAATAATGAAGTTTATGAACTCACATGATAGAACTTCTGGAAATAAAGCAATCCTCAGTTCCTCCCACCTTTCATCTCTGCCATCATTCATTCTGGCTCTGTCTTTGAGTTGGTTCCTCAGTGGATATAGCACCGCAAATATCATATAAGAAAGCAAAACATGCAGAGGAAGACTAGCGGTGTCTCTCCTTCTAACTCCCTCTCGGGGATGGGGAACTTTGTAGAAGCCAGAAATTTGACTTTCATTTTTTGTCACATGGGCCAAGTGACTTCTAAAATGAACCATCAGATTGATTTCTGAAATAATGACAGGAGATTCACAACAACAAGGTTGGTTACACCAATGGGAAACTTTGGTTATACTACCCCACTGGCCAACATGCATAGACATTTATGCTCTTTCAAATAGAGTGCATACACTTCTAGAACCGGTCAAGCAAGCTCTAGTAACTTGTTCTCGATGGGAACATCACATCTGAATACATCTTCAACTTCTCAGGCACTTACTTTGAGCCTGAGTCTGTTTCCTGAAATCGACTCTAGGATTTTTACTTACCCTATTTTGTCCTCCAGATATCTTAATAACTCTTCCACCTACAAAGACATAACATACACATCTTCATGTTTTCTTCAAAGGAAATCCTTTATTTTACTAAAGTCCTTGCTTTGTGGTGCCAAATCATTAACCTCTTTTTTGCTTTGTCCACATAAACATCACTTGAACAGATATTTCTCTGACATGGAAGGAACATTTGACACAAAGCAGATAAAAGTGTGAATATCTTTCTTCTGGTCCCTGACTGTCTCTCTCTCTCTCTCTCTCTCTCTGCCTTTTCACTAATTTGAAAACAAATAGTGTTCAAAGCTAGGGGATAAAACCCAGCCCTTGGATTTAAATCTTCTTAGTAAACTCAATATCCACAAAGTCTACTTCCATTTCTTGGGTTGCCTGAAATGACTTCAGGACTATTTGCACAGAGATTAAATTTACTTGCTACCTTTGTTTTTACTTTTAGCATATAGATTTCAAGCACATTTTTCTTCCTAAAACTTCCAAAAATTTACCCTCACAATTTCTTTTTTTAATTGGTTCTCTTTGATTATATATGACAGCTTTCAATATTACTTTATAAAACTGAAATACGAATTTTCCAGGAACAGGCTCTACCTTCTTTTTAAGGTTGAAACTGCAAGTCACTACTCAGTGATAATAGTCACCTTTCTTGCCCCATCCTCAATTACCCTTGATTAACAACAATGATAGTATTAATAATGCCCTACCCCTCCCTCCAAGCCACTGCAGGCATTGTGGTTACATTAACTAATATCAATACATCAACCCTGCAGGGAAGGGAAGGGATTATTTTAATGAAGAGAATATTCTGGCACTATGACTTGCCCAAACACGAAACAGCTGATGTAGATGCCCTTGTCTTGGATGGAAAAACATTCCAGGCAGTTGTTCATCAGATATTCATTGGGACACCCCTTCAGGGTAACAGCATTTATTGTTCAAAAGGCAGATCTCTGTTGAAAATGGTCTCCGTTCCACAAATAGTACTTATCAGGTGACTCCGGTATAAATCTCTTTTCTAGAAGCTGTAATCGTTGACCTGAATTAAACCTCACATGTTAATTTTCTGCCTCTTAATGTGGAGGTAAATAAAGTGACTCAAATGCTGAGTCTTAGCCTTGCTGCTGCTCATTGGCCACACCAGGAGCGTCACATGATGAGGACGTTCTTTAAATCAAGCTCCTAGTGGCATTGCAATGCCTGCATTTCGTTGGTTTTCCTGTGTGAGTGGCTCTTCTCAGCTCGCCTTCTGACGATGGAGCCCTTCTTGGGAACCTGGGAACTGGAATCCAGTGAAAAGTTTAACGAGTATCTGGAAGAGCTGGGTGAGAAATACCATTATGGGATGGGGGAAACTAGCAAAGCACTTTGATGTGGTTGTGTTTGCACTTTACAATGAATTTTCCTACGATTCTCTTTCTTTTGTGATTCTGGGGTACATTCATTTGAGACTAACATAGTTTATGATCCTACTTATTACTACTACTACTTTTGCTTTTCCTTAGTATTAGCAATAAACTGTGTCTTTTTAAAAATATGAGGCTCACAGATATCTTCAGTCAAAATCCATCTATAAGCCCATTAATCCTTTTGATAATACTTCTTGCTAACTTTTTGATTGAGTATCTCTTTTGCTTGGTCACTTTATAGAACAGTTTTTTTTTTCCAATTTCAAATTTATAGACAGTAATCATCATCTATAATTAAATTTATCTCAGAGTTTGCTTTAAGTTATAAATTTTAAAAGGTAGCAGCAACAAATAAAATTTCTAGGCAGTTAATTTTTAGAGTTCTCATTCATATAAGAGATATGTAAGACATTACTTTGAAAAATTCCTTTGGTGGGAGAAATAGAACACTTTTACTCATTGAAGTCTAGTTATGGGATGTTTCTCAGAAGTATAAACCCTACCCATCCTTTCTCTCAAGTTAAATGGTCAAACATCAGTTGTGTTTGAGTCTATAATGATTGCATAGATTTTTTAATGAATGCTAGAAGAATTATTTTTTTATATTTAATTAAGAGAAATCTCTTTTATAATAATTAACTATGTACGAAGCCAAGAATCTTTTTCCGTTTTCTTTTTTCAACTTGTTTGGAATGATCAGAAGATGCTTACTGTTATTAACAATATGTATACTCATTCTAGACAATGATAACAACCATGCTTTATCCTGCATAATAAGTTAGTGTACTAATAAGTGTACTATTTGGCCAGGTGTAGTGGCACATGCCTATAATCCCAGCGGCTCAGGCAGCTGAGACAAGAGGATCACAAGTTCAAAGCCAGACTCAGCAAAAATGAGGCACTAAGCAACTCAGTGAGACCCTGTCTATAAATAAAATACAAAACCGGGCTGGAGATGTGGCTCAGTGGCCAATTGCCCCTGAGTTCAATCCCCAGGAACCCCCCTGCTGGAAAAAAAAGTGTATTATTTATTCCTCTTTTGTCTCAGTATTCGCTTTCTCAGGGAGCAATAAATAGATTTCCTTACCGATGAATTTAGACATGCTTTAATTTTGAATAAAATTTGGAGATTTAAGGAAAATCCAGGTTTAGGACCAGAACAATCCTCACGGGTGTTTTATTTGTTTGTTTGTAAATAAAATAATTTATTAGTACCTTACCAGGGTGCTTAACCACTGAGCCATATCCCCAGCCACCCCCCCTTCTTTTTTTAGAGACAGGATCTCACTAAGTTGCTTAGGACCTCCCTAAGTTGCTGAGGCTGGCTTATGAAATTGAGATTCTCCTGCCTCAGCCTCCCAAGCTGCTGAGATTCCAGGTGTGCACCACCATGCTAAGGCAGACCTTGTTTTGACTAGGAGCTGGGTTAGATGTGTCTCATGGAGAAACAGCAGCTGAGTTCCTCTGTGCAAATACCATACAAAGTCCTTTATCTCCTCTTCCAACACACCTGTGAAATTAGAACCACTTACACACATTTTACTACCAAAAGAGTTGAAGGGTAGAGAAGGTACATAACACACTCAAGCTAGCAGGTGGCAAAATTGGAGCCAGGTATTAATCACCTCACTCCTGCTTGTGATCCTGTTAAAACTGTTACTCCGATGTGAAGTGCATCACATCCATTCCATAATTTGAATGGGAAACAGACTCTGATAATGACTGAGAGAGACAGAGAAGGAGTCAGCTCTTCTGCCCACCTTCTGTAGGAGTTTAACAATGGAAATCCCCAGACTGAGCAACAGGACCAAGCTCTAAACCAAACTCCTCCTATACTGTGTAGCTTCTGTGAGGTCCAGAGCCAGCATCTGATCACCTGAAAGGCACCCTGCAAATAAACATTTTCCAGGAAGCTCAATAGCTTCAGAAAGCGAATTTAGCTTTTCAAAATATCAGATGGAATACTAGCCAGCTATACATTCTGATTGGGAGGATCTGGCTCCGTCCAGATAAGAGAGAGCATAAGAGACCACAACACACATTATCCAAAACTTGAATGGGGGAAGAAATTGTTTTATGTTTTGTTTTAGGAAATTCCTTTCCAAAATGATTGTTAACACATTTGCCTAAATGTCTGAATAAAGTGTGTTGCTTTCTCTGCCTCCCAGGAGTAAATATCTTGATCCGCAAGGCAGCAGAGTTAGCGAAGCCAAGAGTCACTGTTAGCATGGATGGAGATAGGGTGAAGATACAAACAGAAAGTACTTTGAAGAACTCTGAGATCTCCTTCGAACTGGGGAAAGAATTTGATGAAAATACCGCAGATGACCGACATGTAAAGGTCAGTCAGAACTAAATCTTCCTGGTATTCAGCTGTCAGAAACAAACCTGAGGTGTTGAAGTGTGGTTTATGATATGTAATTTGACTTATTTCCAAGTTGGTTTTGGCATGTTTTGATACACACACACACACACACACACACACACACACACACACATATACACATATATATATCTGCACATCTCCAAAGTCATTCCTTTTGCTAATTATTCTGAGGATTGAGTGAAGGTAAAAAAAAAAAAAATTAAAATTGCTCTCACTTTTGTTTTTCCTGATCTCACTTTGTCATTATATTAAAGATCAGATAGAAGGGAGAAATTAAGCACAAATAGTTTAGGAATTATTTGCCTAGAAGAGAAAATTAATTAAAATGGTCTCTCAAACCTTCTAGTTTGACAGTATTCAATTATGACAAGAACTAATGTGAAGATTTTGAAAAACAGAATTTCAAAATATAGATGGAAAAGTGGATGTCTAGTCCTGTGTCAGATAGAACATAGTGAATTCTACTTCTAACAGATTTTCTTATACATTTATAGAGCATCGTAACATTAGACAGTGGCTCAATGGTTCACGTCCAAAAATGGCTCGACAAAGAGACAACAATCAAAAGAAAAATTGTAGATGGAAAAATGGTGGCGGTGAGTTTTTTTTTTTCTAAATTTAAATTCTTATGTCTCTTGTTTGATACATGCTTGTCAAGCTACCCGTTGGTTTATGCACCCTGCATTGAAGGTCTGACCTGGGGAAAAAGGAGCAGAACAATCTGTCAACTCCCAACTTTAATCATTCCTTTTTGCTTTTAGGAATGTACCATGAATAACATTGTCAGCACTCGAACCTATCAAAAGGTGTGAAGAAAAAGGTCCACATCAAGGAGCACTTATCCACCAACAGGAAACTGGTACTTGAAGAAAATATGCCCCAAGGCCTGTAATTTTTTAATAATCTAGTATAAGCTTGCTCAATAAAAGCATCAAAGTAAGTACAGTTTGGGAGCTGTTTGATGATGAGGGTTAGGGAAAGTCTGATGAATCCAGGAAACAAGAAGATACTGGCCTATAGTGTGACTCTAACAGCTTTAAAGTCTCCTTTGCCCTGTGCCCACTTGATTTCCACAGTCCTGGACCCATTCTCACAATGCATCCCTTTCATTTTATCAAATCCATGTGGAAATTGATGTGACCACAAGGGGAGGTATATTATATCTTTGATACCTACTTTGGTCAGCACAAATCAAAAAACAATATTGATCTTTTTTTTTTTTTCATTTTTACAAGGTCTGTCAATTGTTTGAGGAAGACAGACCATCATAGCACTGTACACACAAAATCAAAGATGGATAGATTAGAAGATAGTGACAGATAGATGATAGATACAGGAGTACAAAATAGACTTCACATACTGTGGTTGAGTTATGAGACGAGCATTTAAAACAGGCATTGACGCCCTTCTTCACAAATCCATTCATAATAATTAGGCTAGTGCATCTGTCACCCTGCTCACAGCTTAATCCTCGCAGAATGGAGTGTTATTAGATATCAGTTCTGAATTTCTGAATGCCTGGTGAGAATTTAATTGTTTGAACTCCACCATGTCCCCTGATAGTTTCACCAAATGCTGTTGTTAGATATGAGGGCTCTCAGAACTCAGAGCAAAACACAGCGGTGGGGGTAAATGAAAGAATAAAGCTTAGAAAACTCAGCCCATCTGTAGCAGTGGGAGGAGAAAAAGAAGAAAGTGGAGAAATTATGTAGATAATCACGTTGTGCCTTAAATTTAAAAATGGGCAATCCTTGGTCAAACCTAAGTCCTAATGTAGCACAGAGTGTGATTTGGTGAGTTCTTTGGCAAATTTAAAGAATAAAATCCATGGACATGTAGCAGGATTTGTTGAAGTAATAGAAAGAAGAGCTTCTGAAGGGCAGGGTTTGCCAGAGAATGGCTACTGGAGGTTGGATTCTAAGCAACCAGTATCTCACTATCAGTTTTTCTGCTAGCACAGGAATCAAGATGACCTTGAGGATGTCTGGCTTGTGCTTATAGTTTCTCAGCCTTGCTCTACAGAGACCTGACCTGGAAGAGGCCCAGATTTCCTTTTTGCCTCTTTTAACACTTTCTCCTGCCTTACTAAGAGTCATACTTACATACGCCAGAGTAGAATGAATGCCCATGCACTTTGTCATCTAAACTGGGTGAGAATTAAAAGTGACAAAGGGGCACTGTTAAGGACCTAACCATAAATACAGACTGCCCTAGGCAAACTGAGGGGCGTGGTCAACTTAGCAAGGAAGTTGAAGAGTCATGAACAACAGGACTACAGCTTGGGGCTGGGCTGTGAACTGATTCCCTGGCTAAGGGTAGGAACCACCTGGGCTGTCATCTGAAACCTGAAGACCTCTGAGCATCTGGCTCTACACCAGAGTGGTAGCCCTGGTTCTGGCCAGGTAGCCACCAGGGGGGAACAATGACATTTATCCCCATATGACATGTCCTTCTGTTTCTGAAAGGACTCAGTCACATACAAACATGACCACGTTTGTCTCCAGAGGTTAAAGAGGCTTCCTCACCCTGATGGTGTCCTGGGAAAAGGGGAGCAGGGCACACCCTCCTCAAACAGCCCCCATAGTGAGCTGGAGACCACAGCTGCTTTAGGGACACCTCAGAGCAGGAGCCAGAGCGTTTCCTACAATCATAAGGAAGAAGAAATGCCATTCAAATCTGTGTCTTTTCAGAAGCATGATTAAAAAAAGAATGATGAAGTTCTCAATTTCTTCTCTTCTCACAAATATCACCGCTCCAAGTACAAAGAGCCTGAATGAGAAATAAGACCCTGGTGTTGAGTATGTTATACAAAGCATCAAATGTACTACTCTTTAGGAATCATTCACTCATGCATCCAAGTTCTTCCTTGGTGACCACTGTGTCTGATACTCTCAGGTGCTGGAAAACAGTGCCAAGTTAGGCATGAAGGTCAAAATGCATTTTCTTTTCTTTTCTTTTTTTTTTTTTAAGGTACTGGGTGCCTTTTCCACTGATCAACATATTCAGCTTATCTTTTGTTTATTTTATTTTATTTTTATTTTGAGACATGATCTCACTAAGTTGCTTAGGGCTTTGCTAAGTTGCTGAGGCTGGCCTCAAATTCGTGATCCTCCTGCCTGAGCTTCCCAAGTCACTGGGATTACAAGTGTGCACCACCATGCCCAACTACAACTACCTTTGTTGTTTCATGAGGCAGAGCCATCTTGAAACACTAAACCTTTCCTTTTATCCTCAATTAAATCATGTCAAAATTTTTGTTATGAAATTATTAGAAATTATACTTAGACTGGTCAGTAATTTAGTAAGAACTTTCACACAGTCAGCCTTTGGGTATATCTAACTTGCTTTTGAAAATCATCATCTATTTCTGAGAAATGATAACATGTATGTTTGTCACATTGCATTGGGTTTTAAAGGAGAAAGAAATCAATGAAACTTTTCATTATAGTGAATTCATCAATCACTTATTCACTTTCCAAGAGGTTTGAAATAAAAGAAATGAGAGCAGTTTTTATAAGCCACACTGGAAAATGTATTTTATTTTGAAATATTTTAGCTTGAAAAACTCAGTAGCAAATCATTACACTTTGAAGTTTGTAAGACAGTACTAATTATCCCATTATGCCATCCTTAGTATGATTATCCAAGAATAATTCACCAGATTTTCTTTTTTGCTACCTAACACTAGGTGGTAAATCTTTGACAAGAATAGTTTTGAACATTCTCTGTAGTATTTTACTGTCACACTTTTTGTACCCAAAATGCAATAAACTTTAAAAGACAAGGGACTGGTCCCATGAGTAACCAAAAGTAGAAAGAACTATAGGACGAAGTGTTGGGACATGTCCTAATTCCTAAATGATATGTTCTTGAAATTCCTACTTCTAACATTTAGGGGGAAAATATGTCTACCTTTTTTTGATGTTTGGTGTCCAGGCCCTTTGTCTTGTTTTTTTGAGGAAGTCAGAGAGACCATCTAACCACCAGCCCCACCAGGAGAACAGGAGTTATCAGTTGCCCCAGAGGGGGCAAACACTGAAGAAGCAGAATGGGGTTTGATGACCCATCAGAGCAGACTTGAATCCTGCTTCTACGTCTATGACTACATGAGAGCCTGTTACCATCTAGGGGTGCAGGGTTCATTCAGCTGAGAATTGAAGAATGGGACACAGAGATAACAAGCAAGCAGCAGGCTTATTACAAAAGCAACAGAGACAGATTTCCACAAAGAGAAGGAGCCCAGGAGACGAGAATCCGGTGGGGGAGGAGTTTTGGCTTGTTCATTTTGTGGTCCCTGGAATTTCCTCCTTTCCTTATCTCTTCCCCAGTTCATGCTCTCCTCTCTATAATTGATTGATGCTCCCTTTGTTCACACATCTATTTTAGTTTTTTTGTTGGATCCCCCACTTAGGAGCATGGGTAAGGAAGTGTCTAACTAGGTCCCCTGTTTGTGTCCGTGAGCACTTTCATCAACAGGAAGTTGACATCGTTAGATGACCATCTCCACGCTCCTTTGTTCTGAGTCTGCCCCTGACCTCCACTTGCCATGCCCTGGTTGCCTATTCTCTTCTACATCTTCCTCAAGTCTGCAAGAGCTGCTTGACCAGTTTGTTTCTTTGCAAAACGAACACTGACTTATTTCCCGGGGTTGTGGCAAGGGTGAAGGAGATTGTCTAAAAAGGACCAGCACAAGTATTGCAGTTTTCCTGAGCCCTCTTCTCAGAAGACAAAGCAGTTAGAATGGGAAGAGTGGGAACAACATAATTGGTGGGGATGTTTTACCAAAACAGTGAGCAGAGGAAGAACAGGGAAGAGTCTCAGCAGAGTTTAGCTTAGGGCAGAGACTTGAAGCAACCAATTAGAAATCAGCTTTCAGGAAAATGGATTATGGTTTACTTTGTAAAACAGAATTCAGATTTCTGTGGTTACTTATAAAAAATAAAAACTTTCAATAAGTAAGTTATAAAGCAACTTCACAAGTTATCTTTCTTGATCCTCAAATAAATTTGTGTTTTAACAGATGATAAAAACAGATGATAGCATCCCAAATGCTACCCATTTAGCACATAATAAAGCTAGGTGAGAACTTAATACAAATTCACTATAGCATTTCATCTTTTTACATTAAAAAAAATAATGACATGGGGACTGGGGATGTAGCTCAGTGGTAGAGTGCTTACCTAGCATGCAAGAGCCTCTGGGTTCAATCCCCAAAACTGCAAAAGCAGACATGAGAAAAGAAACAAAGAATGTCACAACTCTGTGAATTATGATTTGAATGCCAATAAGACAGATGATTAATTGCCCCTTGGAAACCTGAGGTTGCCCTTCCCTAGCATTGAGTTACTCCTTAGAACAGCCTATAATCAAGGTGTGGCACTGCTCAGTGCATTGGGTTTTATGACTACTTCTTTGCATGCAATCTGAGTAGAATTGATATGTGCCACTTCTGAGTCAAGACGGTGAAGAAGCAAATCCATGCCTGTCTGCTAGCAGGTAGACTGTGAAACTCTGGGGTATGGTATAGAAGAAGGGATCCAAGACCTCTGAAGGACCTCCTAGCTCCATACACTAGGAGCCCCTACACTGGACTGGGACATCAAACAAGAACATCTGGGTCAAGCCACTGGAATGTTGGAGTTTATTGCAGCAGCTAGTGTTCAAACAAAATTTAAGAGATTTCATTGTGTATCGTGTCACAAGCCTGTTATTGGCTGAAATGTAACTACAAATCTAGCTTTCAGTTGTTTAAGGGAATAAAGATTGGGTTGATTGAATGAAAGAAACCACAGTTTAGACATGAATTTAGCTGTTTCTCTGATCTAACTTTACCTAACGTGAATTTAGTTGATTGTCTGATCTAGTTTTACCTGAAATCTCTTGCTCTGGAAAAGACTATATGTAAGTTAAACATTCCCTCACAGTATCTCAGTTGTGTAA